GAGTCATCACTGAATCCATTTCCAGAAAAATCCCATTTTATTGAAATATTACTTTCCAAAAAGTGTCAATCTGCTTAAGCAAAAGTGACTCCAGGGTACTATAATGGCAGGGCTGGTTCTTTAGAGCCTCTGGGACTTTCTTTCTACCCATCATTTCCCGTGGGTGGGTCCTAAGCAGATGTACCCTCTAGACTTCTTAGCCTCTGAAGATGGGAAGGAAAGAAGCAAGACAGTACTCAGAAATTCTGTTCCCGAGCCTCACATTCATTCCCCTGCTTTCTTTTCCTCCTTAGCAGAACACTTGGGGGAAGAAGAGGGAAGGAAAAATGAGCACAGAAGGGATACAGGAAACTTGCTAGTCTATAAGTCAGAATCCCTTCTACAGCAGAAATTTAGTTATCCTCCCTTTGTTCAAGTATACTACTGATTTGCTTTACAAGAAAAAAATCATTTCTTCCCTCTCTCCCTCTACTGCTTCCTAATGAAATGTACAGGTCACAATGCAACCCATTAAACTACATTTTATTTACTTTAGACATCAATGAATTAAAACACTGACATATGAAACCAAAGTCAGATGTATACAACACTGACAGCCAGTTCATCACTGACGGCCAGTTCATCATCCTCAGACTACTTTGTGCTAAGGTAGAAACCAACATCTCCCCTTCTATCCCTGGCTTCTCTTTGCCCCCACCAATAGGTAAACGTCCAATAGTTAGATTTTCACACCTCCAGGTCTTTTCTCTTCAAGGCTCCTCCCACCTGTAACCCACTTTAGTGGCTTCTGAAATTCACTCATCCTCTCAAACCTGGTGCAAATGCCACCTCGTCTAGTCAACATTCCATGAATCCGCAGTTGGCAACAGTTGCTTCTTCACCAATGTTCCTTTAGTTTTTTGTTACAAAACCTATATTGGGATTTGTCTCATTCTCTCTGATTTTTTGCGGCTATAACTGCAAGAAAAATATATCAACCCCATACTTAGTTCTTGGCACAGTAAGTCAATTGGAAGACTTAATAAAAGAACTCTTGAGTTGATTCCTGAGTTTGCTAACCCCATTACTAGGGATGAAATGAGAAATCACTTGAGTGAGGCACGTGACACTTTAGATGAAAGGCTGACGTCCATTACCTGGTAATAGCCTAGGAGCTAAGAGACCTTAGTTCTAATCCCACCTCCACACTAACATTTTTCTCAGGCTTATATTATGGTGAACCAAAACTCTCCTTTACCAAGAGTCTACCTTTTGTCTATTAGTCATTAACTTATTTGGTAAATTTTACCACTAAGCTTTGTCATAGTTATACTATTATCTATCAGTAGTCTATGTTTTTATTATATTCCTGCATTCTTACTACAAAAGACACTAGGCCATGAGAATACTCATAGCTGCCTATGGAAAACAAACCCAGGGTTCTTTCATGAGTGAACGTACCAAAGAAAACAGCTGCAGAAAAAGGAAGACATGGCTCTGGTGGCCATGGGCAAACTACTTACCTTTTGTGAGATAAGAATAGCAGCCATCCCAGCCCAGATCACATGGTTATAGGGATCTAAGAGCTAATGCATAGAAAATACTTTGGAGGAATTACCCCAGAATGTTAGCTGTTTTTATTACATCCATGCTACTTTTGATTATATTTCAGCTTTATTTTGTTTCATTATAATTATTAGTCCACAGTGAGTCCTCAACATACTTTAAACTGAATACATCTTATGTCTAAAGGGTTTTTTGAAACATTCTATTTTTATGACTTTTCTTAAGGAAGATGAAGACAAACACAGAGACTGCTTCTTTAAAAAATACCACTTTTCTGTGCTAATCAATCCTGCAGATCTATGAGGGAAGAAAAAAATTCTAGCCCAAACCGATCAGTCTAAGCAAGCACAATCATGTTAATTATATACAACTGTCAGCAAGGAGATCAAAGGTGAAGTCTTTTCTCAGCTTCACGGAATGATGATGGTAATAAACAGTTATTCTCAGTAACTAAAGTATATTTTGCAATTGTAACTGACACAACTTGACTTTCATTTTTTGTAAATTAAATGATTTTCAATATATGCTCTTATTCAAAACAATAGATCCTTTTAGCTTAGTAAAACTCACCATTACCCAATGTGACCCACCTTCCTGTTCATGATTTGCTCTACTGTGTAACACCATTGTTTAACAGATTTTAAAAAGGACTCGGAAAAATATCTTGTAATTTGGAGAGCCTGGGGAATTGCATATATTCCTCCAACTTTTCCTATTTTAAGTTCATTTAAATGTCACAGCTTTTGAGAAGAAGGGAGGAAGATAGAGGGGCAAACATGAACATGAACCCTACCATCCCTTCTTTCTTTTCTATCTTCCTGGGTTTACACCCAAACTAGAGGTTATGCAAGTGTTCAAACATCCTCTCTGGCCAAACATAATGTACACAGTCAAACCCTACTTTCTTTAGTTTGCTTATTTATTTTTAAACCTATTTTAACCCTACTCCTAAATCTTTCATGCAGGCAATCATTTCTTAGGTGGCTGGCACATAAATCTTGCTCATCTAGTTTAGCATGCCAATGAGGCTCTGTCTGTCTTTCTTTGTGCACAACCACCATGGGGAGTAGGGATTACCCTAATTTTACAGGTGAGGAAGCTGGAGAGCAGAAAGGCCAAGTAAGCAGTGATCTGGGATTTAAAAGTAGACTGTCTGGCTCCAGAGTCTGGCCTTGGATCCACACACTGCATTACCATTCTCTTCTTGAATTCCCATAGCCTGCCTTGTATGTAATCCCATAGCAAACTATATTGCGTTATAGAGTATTTAACTTATTCCAAATTGTATTGTTATGGAACTGCTTTCTAATATATATCCCATTTCATTGTAAAATCTTTAAGGGATCATACCACTTTGTGTGTGTGTGTGTGTGTGTGTGTGTTTGTGTGTGGTTCGCACAGTACCTATTTCAATACTAGATCCTAAAGTGTATATTCTCTCACAGATTGGCATGTCTGCTCAATTGGAGCCAGAAAATTCTGACAATTTCAGACCACTGTGAAGAGTTTCCTAAGTCCAGACAAGTGAAATGACTTACCTAACCTCACATGGCTGACAGAGAATGGTGGCAAGATTTAAACTCACAAATATTTTCCTCATCCTGTGTGGTCTCCAAACCAAACAAATATGACAACAGGACAGAGAAACATGATAATGAGTTTTGTCTCTCTTACATCAGATAGACCATGAGCTCCTTGATAGTATTAACTATCAAGTTTCCAAACTAAAATACTTGTGCAAATATTCATTATTAGTATTTTGATTTATAATGACTCATTAGAAATGTACAAATAAATGTACAGCAGAAAAGACTGAGGCATAACAAGATTGTTCTGGGGAGTAAGCAGAAGCTCACACTTGAGAAAATATGTCAGTCTGCAAAAGTATAGGCCTTTGTTGGAGCAATTATTACGTCACTGTGTTAGTCAATGGTGTTAGAAGAGTAAGACAAACCTAGCTTTTAGGAGTTTTTAACCCAGTGGGGAAAATACACAGAAACAAGAATAGGTAACATGGGTCAAATCCTATGACTAAGATCCTTTGGAGGTCACAAATCAGCAGCCTGTCAAATGTGTGGCCCACAACTTTGATTTCAGAAATATGAATCAAAGATTAATATGTAAAAATTGAGAAATTTCACATAAAATTACACATTTGGGCTACCCCCAAAAGTGGAAATGATGACACTGGATCAGATGACACTGATCCCTCATTCTTGTGTGGCCACCATCAGTCTGTGCCCAATAGCTGCTCTCTCCAAGGTCGGCAGGTGCATGTATTTGTATTCAAGAGCCCATGTTCCTTTAAGCCAATGATTTTTGAGAGTTACCTATAGACATTTTTTACTAGGAGCACTTTTGATATATTATTTTTCCTTGATAACACTGCTCATGTGATTATAGATTAAGTCATGCATTAACATTTAAGGTGACACACACAAAAAGTATCTGGGATGTTCTAACGGGGAGAAAGGGTTGAAGCACATAAATGGAGGAGGAGTGCAGGTGGAAAAGAATGATCAGACAGACAGGAAGGTGGTAAAATTGTACCATATGAGTTTCCTCATTCCTAATACCTTGTCCTCCTTCCAGGTCTTCTTCCTCTCCCTTCTCCCATCTCGCTCTACAGATACAGTTCTCATGACTACTCCATAATAAGAAAAAGATCCATGACTCTATATTGTGCATATCTATATCATTGCTTAGAGTTGGAGACTGTACTAAGGTTTGTGAACAGGTTGACATTTTACTATAAAGGTGTGTTTCAAAGATTCCGACCACCATGTTCTTTGCACACTATATTATGGTACACAGTAACAAATTCAAGTAATATATACTGCTGCTGCTTTGCACAAGGTTAGTGTCTAGTATGGGAGATATTCTTGTGCTGCGGAGGATATGCTGGCTTTGAGGTAAGAATGTTTGCATTTAAATCTCACTTACGACAGCTCATTAGGGCAGTGATCTTGGGCAAGCTATTCAGTCTCTCTTATATTTAGGGTATTTAAATGAGAATAATATAGTTTTTATTCACACCTCTATTTATATAGTTCTCTTCATAGCTACTTATTTTTATTCATATAACTTTATATAGTTATTATGAAGATTAAATAAGATGCCCACAGAGAACAGAAATATTTACTCTTAGTAATGTTATTCAGATAAAATTTTTTAAAATTTGAAACTAATTTGCAGGAAGTATATAAGACAGTATCATTAGTGGGTAAAGAAATTAACATTTATGGAACAATTATTAGGAGCCAGATGATTTATATGTCATCTCATTTAATCCTTATGATATGGCTAGTAAGCTTTATTATTCCAAGTTTTTCATGAGGAAACAAGCAGTAGGGCAAAAATACTTTACCATTTATGACTTAATAGGAGCATCATAATTGTTTGACTATAAAGCCTGAGTCTACCTCCTGTGGCCCAACACCTGGAGAAAGGACTAAGGAAACTACAAGAGCTCAAGACAACTTCTGCTTTAGACTCTGAAGGGTACCGAAGAGCTGACTCAATGCAAAGGTTAAGAGAGTGAGCTACACTTTACACTTCACACTTCTGACTCAAAACAGAACACAGCAGAGTGACCTTCCTTTGGAGGCAGGTGTGAAGTGACTGGCAAATCCTCAGGACAGATTAAATGAATCATCCAGGGAAAGGAAAATATTAATGCATGCTCTAACATGTTCATCTCTCTTCCTTATGCCTACTGTGAAGAGGTAGTGGTTGTATCTCTTCTATAGGGATTTCATATTGCCATATACTTGGATGAGTTAGGTCACACAGCTACTGACAAATGTCTTTAAAAGGATCTCTATATTATCTATTAAGAGAATAGAAGCTTTGAGGCAGCTCCAAATGGTTTTCAAAGTTAACATAGATTAAATTATGGCTCTATCAGCAAAATGCAAGCACTGACAATTGAAAACAGAATATTTGGCCCCAAACACATCCCTCAGCTCCTTCTTCTCTAACCTCTTAATTCTGTACTTTGTCAGAAATCTTATGAGGGCAGGCAGAGTGGTATATTCTCTTGGGCCAGTACAGAACTTGAAAGAAGGTAATGATTATTTGTGAGGAACATACTCTGTGCTTGGCTCCACTAAATGTGTTAATGCATTAACTCATTTAATCTTCTATAATTAAATGTGAGCCACATGAGGAGAATACTTATCTCTTTCTCCCTGAACTCCCAGAGCAGTTCCTAGCATGAAAGAGGTGCTTGTTCTGACTACTGTCCATGGGTTCTCGGCACCATTCCTTAATCCTTCTACCCTCCTGTTTTCCACTGGATCACAGGGGCAGGAAGCGTGAGAACTATATTCTCAGAACCTTGTCAGCAGAATTGCAGTTTGGATTCTCCCAACTAGCATTAATTGCCTGAGTTTTCGGATGTGGAAAGGCGGTGGCAGACTGGCACAAAATTTGCAGCTCTTTCCACTCCTAAAGGCTCTTACAGTGTCCTCAGACTCTGTGGCCTCCTCTTGGACACTAGCTTCACAGCTTCAAGTGACTGTGGCTCAGGCTTCCTGAACTTTGCCCACGTGGGAGTAGCTGTATTTACTCTTGTCTATCTCCCCTCCAAACCTTCCAACTATTTCTAAGCATGTTATTACCCTAAATTACATTCCTTACTGATAAAATACAAAAGGTACTGTTTCTCGAATTGATTTACTGTTCAATAAATATATGTTAAATAATTGCATGAATGAACAATTCATTCAATAGGAATTTATATCCCTTCCTTGCAGTTGTAGAATTAAGCCTCCTAGAAATGAAATAATTTAAGGTATACAACCATCACATGTCTGAGCAGGTTGAATCTGGAGGATTTTTTTCCTACTCTCCCACCATCCATCCCATTCATCCTTCAAAACTCTGGCTTCAGCTGGGGATTTAGCTCAGTGGTGCCACCACCTGCCTTGCAAGCACAAGGTCCTGAGTTCAATCCCTCGTACCAAAAAATAGACAGCAAAAATAAGAGACCAAGGGGAGACATTTTAAGAAACAAATCAACTAATTGTTGGCAATAAAGCTCACTGTAACCTAATTCAAACAATATATTAAAAACAAAATAATTCATGATTTTCATGAGACAATTTGTGACTTGAATACCAAATATATATTTGATAAGTTATTGGTAATATTTTAGATATGATAATGGTAATTATGGCTGTTTTAAAAACAGGCAACCTTAAAAATATACACTAACATATTCATTGATAAAATTATTCTCAATACAAGAGGCAGAAACTGAAGTCTATAAATTAGACAAATAAATATATAAGCATTGTTTACGGAGTGATGGATTCCCTTCTAGGAAGATGTTTCTATTTCCTTCCTCTCCAACTGAGTTCACCTTGCCAGATCTCAAATACTCCAAGCACATTTCTGTAACTCTGGTTATCTCCTTCCACTATAATTATCCAACTTATGTGGGTCCCTTCACCAGAGGGAGCTCATTAGTAAGGACAAAAATTTCTCTTTTTCCTCTCATTTTCTCACAGGAAGGGCTTGCTATGAATAGAAAGATGAAAAGATAAATGAATGGATACAAACTCCCCAGTTGTACATCAGAGTGTGCGATCTGGATCTGGATGAGCCAAACAATGCAATACCTTTCCTCACACATCATGAAAGTCATGGGTGACACATAACAAAAGACGTTAATAGGAGAAAAGTAGAACGCACTTACTTGACCGAAGTTTTACATGACATGGGAACCTGCATAAATGAAGACCCAAAGATTCAGAGAACACTGTTTTCATGCTTAGGTTTGATGAAGAATGGACAGCCTTGTAGAAATGTGATTGGGGAAAAGCATACAATCTACTGGGGATAGTCTGTAGGGGTAAACCCAGCGAGGCCTATCTTTCAGATTTTCTTGGCCTCTGGAGTATTCCTTCTGGAACAAAAGTCTTCAAGAGGAAGGGTAAAAGTGCCTTTTGTAGATGTTATCATTTGCTTTAGGAGAGAGGGGTTTTAGTTTCTGTGACACACCTTGGGAAGAGAAATTCTGGTTTCTATGACTCACTTCAAAGGAAAATGAGGGGTGAGAGAACAACAGTGCAGGAGGTCAGAGAGACTGCTTCTGAGGCTTTCCAGTCTCCTTTAGTTCAAAGTACTTAGCATGACAAAGTGCCATATTTTGGGATATTGTTCTGTGAGCTTCAAAAGATTGAAGCATTTGGTTCCCTTTGATTTTTCTTACTTTTGTCTAATTTTTAAGAAACAAATCTGGATTTGTGTTCTGTATGCAAAACAGCATTTGCTCACAACTGAAAGCCACAAATGCAGGAGCCTAATTGAAATCAGATGATTCACACATTTTCATTTAATATTCATGAAATGCCATGTTGTAAGGCCATGTTTTTAATTAGTATAAGGTGGAATTATTTCAAACATTTGTAGTTGTCATAGCAATAAGGTACCTATAAAAAAATTTTCCCTTATTTTTAAAAGAAGTTTTACAATAAGTTATAGTTATTTGACTCTACATTTTAAATCTGATGAGCCACTCTTGTAAGTGTCCTCATTATGGTCTTATAAATGTCCTTTTGGTCCTTTACAAGTCTGTATTTTGCACCAAAAGAAATTATACCTTGGAAATTCTGGAACTGAAAGACTAGAGGAGGCTTTGCCAAGTGACTTAGTCAATGTTCTTGCTTTTGATCCAAACTATGTTAAAGTAGCCAAGATAAACAAAAGCCAAAAAATATGCCTCATTTTTATTATTTTAAGATGTTGATCAAATCATTCTATGGTAGTACACTATTATTGGAAATAATAATTTACTTACATTTCCAAATCATTTCTCAACTAAACTTACAGGCATATCTGTGTCAACAGTAGAAAGGAATTCATATTCTCTTCAGAGTTCTTAGTTACTCTTCAGAAATAATCCAATGAAATGAATTCATAAAAATATACATGATATCCTCCAGAGAACCTATTTCACAGACCAGATGGAACTGGCTGTGTTTTTTCTTTTTTAATGAACTGTCTTCATCTAAGCCAACAAAATAAGTTTCCTTACATGTTAAAATTTCATGAATATAGGCCTCCATCCCAGGCTCCTAGGGCAGTGAGGCTCGGCCGGTCCCAGCACCCGGAAGGAAGCACCCCTGCTGCCATCCCAGGCTCTTAGGGCCAAGAAGGTGAGCTGGTCCCAGCACCTGGAAGGAAGCTCCCCTGCTGCCATCCCAAGCTTCTAGGGCACAGAAGGTGAGCCACGTGGGTGCCAGAAGCACCCCCACCCCCGGGGAAATGAGAAGACACATAAACAAGCCTCAAAAACAGACTTCTGGATCACCTATAGCAACCCCAAAGGGAAACGAGATGGAACACTCTGATACTCAACCACCTGGACTCTCTGAACTGGCAACAAAAGAGGATCTGGCAAAAATGAAATCAGAAATAATC